CGAATAAAATCTTATATTAAAGACGAGGTAGTAACTCTTATAATCCGAGAAACTGTACGGGTTGTCAAGATAATTATGGGTGGATTCTTTACGCCATAGCTTTTTCCGCATGATCTTATCGCATCACTTCCGTTTGTGTCTGCATCTCCGCCCACGTTTCTGTTTTACCTCTTTTTTTTTTGGGGTCTTCTTTCGCTACCTAATGTCACTACCACTTATTATTTTATTACAAACGAGACAAATGCAGTTTTATCCAAAGAAAAGGAAAGTGGTTTCTTCACATTTCCATACCAAACACCATGTCACCCCCCCCCTTTTTTTTTAATCATGCAAGCATCTCCTATCCAAATTAAACCAACAACCCACATCCCACAATAATTAATTAAAACACCTCATCACTTAAAAGCATTTCACCTACAACAAACTACAAATTAAAGGATGTCAATTTATCATGAAAGCTATATCAATATTATTATTATTGCTTTGGACTATATACTCTCACAAATAACTTCATACATTACATAATAAAGTTTATTGCGAGTTATACCATTTATTAGCTATAGACATTTTACTGTGCATGCAGTGTGTTTAAATTTATGAGCTATATACATAAAGTTTATTGCCTTCATGTTTTATTCTGCCCCGTTTGCATTGATTCCAATTTTTTCGAACGAAACACACCCTCTCTATGATAAATTGTCAACATTAATTTTACTTTTATTTTAAAAGTTAAAGTATATATTTGCTCTTTTAATTTTATGTAAAGTTTCAGTTTGGTCTCTTAATTTTAAAAAGCATACTTTTGGTCCTTTAACTCTAAAATTTTTAATCTTAAATGATGATTTTCTGTAACAATTAGGGTTGTTTTGAAAATTAAACTTAATATTGTAATATTTAGTAATGTTTTATTAACATTTAATAATTTAATATCATCGTTTTTTTAACAATTCTGGGATTATATGACTAAAAGTCTATTTTTTAATATTAAAGAACTAAAATGAATCCTTATGTGAAGTTAAAGGATAAAAACATACTCTAGTCTATTTTAAATGTTCATAGATATTTTTGCGCGCAGAAAAATTTATGGTGTTCGGCACACGCTATGAAAAAGTCTATGAATAGATTTACAGCCCCACCACGAAAGGTGGAGAACAATGTTATTTTTGCTCTCATTTGGAACATTCATAGGTACGTTTACCTGTAAAAATTGGAGTGACTTGAAAGTTCAAGGCTTCCGCCATTCGTTGGCAAATGAATTTCGGCCCCACCAAAAGGATATTCTGCAAATCAATAATAGTTCATATACCGGAATCCGTCAAAACTGCTGGACAATTATTAATTCCATGTCAATTGCATGTGATTGTTAGATCTAATATCAAGAATTATTGCTAAAAGTTTGAAAGATTCTAAATTAAATCGCTGAACATTTGACTATTTTAATTCTTAAATCACTTCTAAATGAATCCATTTTTCATTTAACTATAACTTAGCTTCCAAAATTACCTCTAAATTACTGTCACAATTCTCTTTTATCTAAAGCAAATAAAATTGCCCGTGAGATCATGCTATTAACAAAGATTCTTTTCGTCCTGAATAATACTCCTCCGGTCCTTAATATAGGACTCAATTGTTAAGTTGCTTTTGATCCTAGATATAAGACTTATTTTTCATATTTATTATTTGTTTTTTCTAAATTGCCCATGAATACTTTTTTAACCATAATCAAGTAGAAAAGGAAGAGGGGTATTAAGAAAGATGATTATAGTGTTTTAAGAAAAAACGTGTCACATTTTTTATAATTAACTAACTTATCTAACTTTCTTAATCTAATTAAATTAGTTAAATGTGTCTTATATTAAGAGCCGAAAGGGTATATACATCAATATATTTCTTACTAATTTGAACAATTTTAGCGTATTGACTATAGAGCCATTTTTAATTTTCTTCAATCCCAACAGTGCCAGTTGTAATTGAGTAATGATAATAAGAATAAATAATAGATACTACCTCCAGTTCTTAATATAATACCTCATTTGACTTTTATTTTGGTCCTAAATATAAAATCCTAATCTACTTTATCTCTCATATTTATGTTTTTTTTTCTAAGATAGCCCTTTTAATAATAATAGTTCTAGCCGATACACTTGATTAGCAATGATATTTAACAAAAATATTTATTTATTATAAATAACTAACTTAACTTATTTTCTTATCTTATATTTAGGACCGAAGGTAGTATTTAGTGTCTTTAATTCTGCGTAATGTATTTTGGGCTAAGTTAAATTTTGTGGAATGAAATTGTTTCCATTTCAATTGTAATAATCAAAGGGTGCCTAACACCAAATAGTCGTCCGTGTAGTCAGCATAATAAGACAACAATGATTGACCTCTAAACCTATCAAGACAATGGCTTAAGGAACGGTGCGCTAGATAAAAACAACGTAGGAGTTAAACTGGAGAAAAAAGATTAAAAATTAATTTAAATTATCATCGTACAACCTAAAAATACCTTGAATCATTAACATAATTTTTCAATTTTCTTTACAATTTCTTAATTTGATAAATTGAGATCATAACATTATGCATTCACATTACCAAAATCTCCAAACATTTCAAGCTAGCCTACTAAATTGGGCGGGTTAACCAGGTTGATTTGAATCACCTTGGGTCGATTCCCACTGTTTTTTTTGTGGGTTGTGGAATGGACTAGCCGGGCGATCCATTTTCTGCTCAACCCGATTAGTTCAGTCTCTTTTTAATTTAATGATTAACAAAATAAAGGGATGCTATATTAAAAAGCCAAAAAGCTTTTATAAAAGAAAAGCCCCTATTTTATAGGTATTTTTATTTTTTTAGGTTAATATAATTTTTAGTTTCTGAAATTTGAGCCTATTTCGTTTTTGGTCTCCCAAATTTTAAACCCATTATTTTAGTTTCTAAAATTTTATTTGTCTTAAAATGTTAGTCCATGACGGTACAATGGCGTTAAAATCTGCTGAAATGTTGTCAATGATGTTAAAAGTGGTGATGTGGATTCACCAAATGATACTTAACTAGATCTTGTATGGATAACTGAATGTCGCATAGTGAATAACTCTCAAAAACAAATAGTGAGGAAGTAAAAACAAGAGGTTAAAGAGCTATATTTTTTTAGGATTTGTTCTTTTTTTCCTCTTTTGTTATCCGCACAAGATTCAGTTTGGTGTCATGTGATGAGTTTACATTACCATTTTAATTTTTTTATGACACTTTAATAGATTTTAACATTGTTACACTTTTGAGGGACTAATGTTTTAATATGGACTAAATTTTAAGGACTAAAATCATGATTTTAAAATTTGAGGGAGTAAAATTAAAATAAGTTTAAATTTCAGAATAAAAGATTATATTAATCCTATTTTAGTGCATTATAGGTGATAATAATTACATGGAAAAAAAAAACCCAACTGCTGCGTTAAAGGAGTTCAATTATTGCGTGTCATGGACAGCGAGCGTAATGATCATGTCTGGATATTTTATCAACACACTGCTCTGTCTGGCTCCCATTTCATATTCCTTCATTCACCACTCAAATTAAAATAATCGTCCCACATAAACATTGCGTCCTTGTCATCAATAAAATCAATTTTCTTACACAAATTAGCATATTTTTAATTAATTTGCGATCAATTCGTTTGAATCTGATTTACGTTTTTACAAATAAGTGCTCTGTCTCATCTAAATCAAAATAAGAAATATTCTTGTACTCGCTTCTAAATAAAAGAAAAATTATGACCATACACTCACATAATAAATATCAGTAAATTTTTACAGAAATATCATTCATGTATTATCGCCTAACGAAAGAGGAAAGTGATTGATATGTGCTATGTGACACCAATAAGCTCGTTTCATGATCAATCTAATCAAACAGTCGTGTGAAAGCGAATCGGATTTCCATATTCTTGATTTTCTTTTCTGTTTTCCTTTTGCCAAATTTCCATCTCCCCAGTCAAACACAATTGGAAACTTGTTTGCTTGGTTTTCCTAAGATGCATGCTTGAAGCAAAATCCATCCCTTCATCAGTGTTTTAATAAGCAATACATCGTTTTATTGTCATCATAATCAGCATAAGTGTGTTTATAAAAATTTTAGGAAACTATACTATCCTTTTTCAGCCTTATATACAAATTACAAGTTTTATAATATTATTTTTTATTTAAAAAATAATTACTAATAGCATAAATACATAATACTACCTCCGGTCCTAATTTTAAGAGTCAGTTGACTAATTTGAGGAGATTAAAGAAGTATGTTGAGTTAGTTATTTGTCATAAATAAGTGTTGTCTTTCCTAAAATATTCTTGCTAATCAAGTGTATTGACTAGAACTCTTATTATTAGAAGGGCTATTGTGAAAAAAATGTATAAATATGAGAGACAAAGTGGATTGGGGTCTTATATTTAAGACCAAAATAAAAATCAAACATGGTCTTATATTAAGGACCAGAGGTAGTATTACGAACGAGGATAAACTTATAATATTTTGCGTTCAGAAAGCGTTCATATAAAGTTTTAGTTACCAATTCAATTCTAAATGTAAATCACTTGTAGAGAAAAATCTTAGTCATAAATTTAAGTTATTTGGAGCATATCTAATGATTGCTTTCTAATTTTATTCTTTTTTAGTTCTTATCGTAGACATAGAAAGAAAAGAAGGATATGAAAATAATTTGTAAATATAAATGAAAAAAATTTAAAAATTTTGTTAATTTAATGTATTTATTTCTTGATATGTAAGAATGTGTTACAAATCATTTATATTAAAAACTGGAGTGATCTAGGATACATGCGTTCACTTTTCTTTTTTTTTTGACCAGCACATGCGTTCACATTTACAATTGTAATTTTTGAATGAAGTTATGAAAATTATTTTTGATTTACAAGATTATTTCTTTTCCCTATGTTTTCTTGCATATCAGGACAGCGTGCGGCGAGTCCTGAAAAGCAAACGCGGCGCTATCTGTGTCATCTTTCTCTTGTGCTGTTTCTCTCCCTTCCCCTTCCCTCAGTCCCTCCCTGTCCGTTTGATATTTCTGGCTTCATTTTCCTTCATTTTCTTCCGTACTCGTCGGGGCAGTGTAAAGAAAATCAATCAAGCATCAATAGAAAAGAAAACCACTAGTAGAGTCTAAGTTTATCAGAGAAGAGAGAGAGGTTCTGAGCCAGCGGGCAATGCTGGATTGGACTAGAACTTAGTCAAAGCCGACCAAAGAGGGGAGAGTATATGGGTGGTGGAACGACTCTGGTGGACGGGATTCGTCGCCTTTTTCAACGTCGACCTTCTTCTGCAATCAAGTCCTCTGATGAAGAGCCTAGTCACATTCATAACTATCACAATGCCGATCGTATTGCTAGCGGCAACCATAACCACAAGTTCGTGAGAAATTTGCGCGCTCAATTAGCCACTCTTCCCAAACAGGAGAGAGAGGAAGGCGAGGGGGCTGAGGACGGGCTCACGATTGAGGACGATTTTGATATCTCTGGCTTGAGGCGTATCAAGGTTCCCACACGAGCGTACTTCAAAGTTGCTTCCATGGATCCTTCAAAAAAGGTTATTTTCTCATGTGCTCTTTCCTTCTTTTTTCCGATTACTCATTCGTATTATTTTCGGTTGGAAGATCTGGTTCTGTTGGTTTTTTTGGCTGCGATCCGATTCTTCAATGGTTTTATTTTACGTACTGTTTTTTATTGTTTAATTCTTGAGTTGTTTTGTTGTTTAGTGATTCAATTGGCTAGTGCCTACTGGGCATTTGGGTATTCGATTTAGTGTGCATTTTTAATCTGGGTTACGATTTTGTTGGACGGTAGTATCTCGTAAAATCCACTCTTAAGATTTGTCTGAGACTTTAAGAAAGGGTAAATAAGTAAACACTAAGGAGTTAAGCTTACATTAAACGAATAATTACTTCCTGGCAGATATTGATTTTTTTTTTAACAAATTTGATTCTGTTTGTTGGGAATAGTAACATTCATCAACACGGACAAGAACTGGATAGGAATCCATATTTGCCTCATGGTTGGCTGAGAAAACGTGTTCACCAGTTTTCACGAAACAAACTCTGCCAAAAAGAAAATGTAAATAATAGAACGAGATATTTATTTGTTGTGATTTACAAGTAATGGGCCAGAGGCATGCGGTTAGCCTAATTCTGATTCATCTGCACTTATATTATAACCGTAATGTTGTGTTATTAACGTTTGACTTACCTTCTTTCGTGTCTGTTAATCATTAGTGACATTCCTTATGAAGATGTATATAATTTCATAGTCTTCGGTGTGCTTGCTTTATGCTGCTAATTGCTCTCATTGTGTGTTTTACATATTACACCATAGGAATGACCGCAGGTCAAAAGAAAGTTTCAAGTTGTTTTAAACTTGTAATATTTGAGTATTCCTTACCACCTTTATAGTTCAACAATGTGTTATGTTTGTGAATGATTTTTAACAGGGCACACCAGAAACAGAGTTCTTCACTGAGTACGGAGAGGCAAGTCGATATCAGGTCCAAGAAGTTATAGGAAAAGGAAGTTATGGTGTCGTAGGTTCTGCAATTGATACTCATACCGGGGAAAGAGTTGCAATTAAGAAAATTAATGATGTATTTGAGCATGTCTCTGATGCCACAAGGATCCTGAGAGAAATTAAACTCCTTCGGTTGCTCCGACATTCTGATATAGTAGAAATCAAGCATATAATGCTTCCTCCTTCACGGCGAGAGTTCAAAGATATCTACGTTGTGTTTGAGTTGATGGAATCTGACCTTCATCAAGTACTCAAGGCTAATGATGATCTTACACCTGAGCACCATCAATTTTTCTTGTACCAACTTCTTCGGGGCTTGAAGTATATACATTCTGGTATCCTTCTGATTAGATCCTTGGATTCTGTACACAGTGAGACGGAAATAATATGCTTTATATTTTCCTTGCAGCAAATGTGTTTCATCGTGACTTAAAGCCCAAAAATATTCTTGCTAACGCTGACTGCAAACTAAAAATATGTGATTTTGGGCTTGCTCGAGTTTCCTTTAATGAGGCACCTTCTGCTATATTCTGGACTGTAAGTAATCTGCTGAGCATACCATGGCAATACTCTCTCGTTGACTGTTATTATTCCTTTAAGATTTTTAGTAGGAAATTGCAATAAATTATCTGATCTTTGTACCTGTTATTATCTTTGTAAGCCTTGTGATGATTTAATTTACACATTCTTGTAAAGGACTATGTTGCAACTCGATGGTATCGTGCACCAGAATTATGCGGTTCTTTTTTCTCAAAAGTAAGCCTTTTATCTTTGATACCTCATTATCCTCTGTAGTTTGTAGCATCTATTTGTGGCTGAAAATAGTAGAGGCATAATACTGTCAATGATGCATGCCTAATTATCACACCACTCAGTTGGCTGCTTGTCAATTCTGAGCTCTTGCATGATACACGTTAAGTGGTCTTGATTGAGTTGATGCAGCACAAATTTTTTTTTTTGGGGTGAATTCAAAATTTCTTTTTTCTGCTTGTGTTATTGATGGAGGTTTATTTTATTTGGTAGCAACTGATAATTTGCATTGTTGATCGTCTCTAGAAAGATAAGGCCGAACAGCATCAGAATGTTTCTGATGATCAGTGCTATAGGAAGTTCACTAAATTATCATACTGCTGAATTTTATGGAGTTGTTGGTCTTTCAAATTAAACTGCTTCATAGTCATAGATGGTCAAGATACATGGCCCTTTTTGGATGTCATTCGTATTCGTTCTTATTTTTATCTTTGAAATTAAAAAAGTCATCACATTACCTTCATCATGTATAATTTTCTTTTCCAATACGGAGAGTGATGCTTCATTAATATTGCGCAAAAGATTATTTGAATATACTGTATCATGGCTGGCATTTTGGTGTTGTTTATCTAAATAAATGCTCTACAGAGATCCGCACAAGATTGTTTAGTAACCAAAGCTCAGAGATATAATATAGGGGACATAATATGAACCATGAATTGATGGTTTTACCTAAAGTATCGTGATTTATTCTAAAGCCTTATTCTGAGTGTATTTCCTCAATGGCGATGCACTTGTCCCATTTTTGTTTGTGTTACTTGTCTGTTATCCTTCGCTGGATCTTTTTAGCACTAGAGCAGTTTACCTCATCTCTCACTCTGTTTCTAAAATTTTGGTGGTATGTCATATCCTAAAAAACGTTTTGAAATGTTCATAATTTGAATTTGTCTTTTGCAGTATACCCCTGCAATTGATATTTGGAGCATCGGATGCATTTTTGCGGAAATGCTCTCTGGGAAGCCATTGTTTCCTGGTAAAAATGTGGTGCACCAATTGGATCTCATGACTGATTTACTTGGTACTCCTCCTGCTGAAACCATTTCGAGGGTTAGTCCATCCAAAAATCATTTGTCATTTTCTAACAATACTTAAGAAACATATGAAATGCTGCAATGGTATTAACTAACAATTATACTATTGATGATTTTAAATTCTTTCCTACTATGATTTTGAAATTTGGCCAGTTAATAGTCACAGATTGATGTCTAATTTTTACTTTTTTGTTGTTCCTTTGTGAATAATTCTTAAAATCACAGATTCGTAATGAGAAGGCTAGAAGGTACCTCAGTAACATGCGGAAAAAGCAGCCAGTTCCACTTTCTCAAAAGTTCCCTCATGCAGATCCATTGGCCCTTCGTCTACTGGAGCGCCTGCTTGCATTTGATCCTAAAGATCGTCCTACAGCTGAAGAGGTTGATCTTCAGTTACCTAAATATACGGCAACTAGTAATTACCAAAGTAGAAATTTTGTTGAGTGAAACTGCTCTAAGATTGGGGTCCAGAGATATTTCTCATGTTCCTTAATATGTATATTTTTTTCCTTGTGCTTATGATTGCAGGCATTAAGTGATCCTTACTTTCGTGGTTTGGCAAATGCTGAGCGTGAACCAGTATCTCCTCAACCGATTTCAAAACTTGAGTTTGAGTTTGAGAGAAGAAAATTGACTAAAGATGATGTTAGAGAGTTGATTTATCGAGAGGTATGGCCATACAGGTGGTGAATGTTGCTTCAATAGTCTCTCCTTTTTGGCTTTGGTTGTAATCAATGCTCTGTTTGAAGTAAACAGATTCTAGAGTATCATCCTCAAATGCTTCAGGAGTATCTGCGAGGTGGAGATCAGACCAGCTTCATGTATCCCAGGTAAAGCAGTATTGTAAATGCTGGGAATCTGAGATTGCCTTTGCCTACCTTATTGATTTTAAGACACCCGACTCCAAGTGTACATTGATTTGTTAAATTTCTTACTTGAGATATAATGGCAATTATGGACTTGATTAAACTTCGTGGATTGTTGCCTTATACACAGTTAAATTAATTCTATCTTTGTCTGCCAGTGTTTGCGACAACAATTTAGAGGTTTTTTTTTAATTTATGACATATATATTCTTATTTAATGCTTGCATTTAAGGATTTTCTATAAACTTGCTCTTCAGTGCTTGAAGAGGTCTTCATTGTAGGCCTAGTTGCATTTTCCGATACAGACTCAAGGTTGCGTTGGATGATTTTTGATCTTAACTGTCTTGTTTTGACTCCTTAACTTACGGTTTGCATCTGCTCCATTTTGGACATCCTCAGCTAGAATCAAATCAAAGCGAATGTCATAATTTCATTTGAGTGGTGGTTAATTTACAGCAAGTGGCTCAATTTTTTTTAACCGTCCAGTCCTTATGCTCAAAGCAGAACATGCATGCTAATACAATGCCAACATGTTGGGGAATCAAGAAAATTTGATTTGCTCATATGCTTGACCTTTTATTGATGGCTTGATGCGTATATTAAAGCAGATATGCAGAGAACTGATGTCTCTCCTGCCATCGGGCATGGTGAAACTAAATGAATTGAGATACTCAGCAAAACTATACGATGTGCTTTTTCACAAAACCTTTGTATGCATTTATTGTTGTTTCATTAAATTTTGTTTGCTTTTTGTTATTTTTATTTGCAAATTGTTACAAATGTAGCCACCATTTGCTGAGAACTGGCATGTGTTTTATTCGCCCCTGCTGTAAAATTTAGTTTGTTCTAAGTATTTGGTTTTGATGATGCTAGTCCATTTACTTGTTTGAATAATTTGATTTTTGAGAATCTACTGGTATTTAATTTATGTTTAAAATGAATTAAATAGACCTTCTTTGATTTTTTTCCTTTTTATTTTTTTTAATATGTAGACAATAGAACTATATTCAAAATCAGTGCAACTTTTCCTGAATTTTGTTCAAATTACACGAATTTTCTTTCTATTTTAGAAAATTACAAATTACAGAGTCACATGCAGGCTTTTCCCGAAAATAGAAATAAGCATAACTGTCAAAAGATCTGTAATTAAAAGGGGGGGAAACTTAAGTCCGTTTTATTCTTGGTTTTTGGGGAAGTCTGTATAGGTTTTGAAAATGAAGGATTGTTTGTCTAATTTTAGAATAATTCACATGGTTGGGATAATTTACCTCCTGTTTTAGAAGTTTGTGTAGTATTTGAAAATTAAGGTTTGGATTAGATCTTGATTATGAACCATCTTGAAGTTTTCTATCAAGGAGGTTAATTATCATATGTTTGGTTCTTGCGTTTTTCCAGGCCGTACTGTTCTTATTCTCTTTTGAATTGAAACAAAAGGGTTTTCGTAATTTGAGTAAAATTGGAGGAAGTCATCATTTGTTTTCTTTTTTTTATTTTGCATGTCATCTGAGAGCTTTGTTGTGCAGTGGGGTAGCTACAATGCTGTAAATTTCAGCTTGGGTTTATTTGCCAATAATTTAATGTTATCCTACTATGCAGTGGGGTTGATCGCTTCAAGCGACAGTTTGCACATCTTGAGGAGCACTATGGAAAAGGTGAACGAAGCACTCCTTTGCAAAGACAGCATGCCTCCTTGCCCAGGTAAGGCTTGGTTGCAAAAATCTGGGATCTTGGGCAGTTCTCAGGTTCAGATTAGTGGCATTTTCTTGATTTAAACGATGTGAAGTGATAGACCTTTGGAGTCACATGCATTGATTATGAAATATAACTTTTCTAGAGAACGAGTACCTGTTCCCAAGGATGAAGCTGGTCAAAACAGCGACTTAGAAGGGCGAACTGCTGCAGCTGTTGCAACAACGCTTCACAGTCCTGATGGGACTGAAGCTGCACAAAATGGACCAAACCAAGGTACACGCAGCCTGTTGAAGAGTGCCAGCATCAGTGGCTCCAAGTGTGTTGGTGTGAAACCAAATAAAAATATAGAGGTAATGAAATTTCTTTTCAAATTCATGGTTTTTAACCATATTTTCTGCCCTCTTGTGTGTTGGGCTCCAGTTTTTTTTTTGGTTCGTGTTAAAGTACTGTCTTGACTATTGCTGTGCAATTTCATTACAATAACGTAGATAATCATGGAGAAACCTCGCAAAACTCTCTCTTGCTCCTGTTCTCTGTTATCTGCATTGTTTTCTTGGGAAAGATTCCTTCCATTCGTTGTTTTGATTTATCTGTAATATTTAAGGAATATTTTAGTCAAATGATACATAGGAGACCTATGCCTGCTAGTGATGCCTGGTGTTTTATATTCAAATTTATACTAATGAAATGTATTTTCGTGGGTGTTAATGTTGTCTGAATTCTTTTTACATAGGGGGAGACTATTGAAGAGATGAATGATGAGGAAGTGGATGGGTTGTCAGAGAAGCTTGATGCCGTTCATGCTTAGAGCCAGACTGTTTCTTTATTTTGAAACTACCTCTGTAAAGGTGCATTAATTATATGCCACCACTCTGAAAATAGAAGAAGAATTTTGTGTATAGTTGTTTGAAGTTTTGTTTTAAAATATTTCACGACTTTTTGCCTGTCTAGTGCCTAATTCTAGGACTTCATTGTAAACATCTTGTGGTTGGCTATCTATGTTTTTATGGAAAAGTAGTTTATACTATATTTCAATTATCAATTATCATTATTACTAAATATCAGGAAAGGGGTGGTGGTCACAATAACTTTGGTATCTTTTTTTTTTTTTTTTTTGAATGAAACTTTGGTATCTTTTAAACCTATTTATAAGGCGAAGGGACAAGGAATTTTTTATTTTATTTATAAATCACATTATTAAATTTTGCTTATGAGTGTACGATTTTATTCTCTACTTATTATGTTGATTTTCTTCATGTATATTAAAAAAGAATAAAGTTGAAAAGTTATTAAATTTTAAACTAAAGGTAATGAAGTTTAAGGTTATTCTAAAAAAATAAGTTTAAGATTTTTTTTTGTTTGTGTTAAAAATGTTGGATGTAAATCTTCTTATACTTACTCCGTCTCTAATTATTTGTCATGATTTTAAGTTTTAATAATATCCCAATTAATTACATAGAGGATGTTGAAACGGAGAGAGCTTAAGTTTATATCAGTGGCAATAGATGGATGATAAAACAAAAAAAATGATTTTTTTTTTGGCATCATGCATGGATTCTGCTTTTATTATGTGTGTAATTTTTATTATAAAGACAAGCCGAGGGAAGAAAGAGGTACAATAATTTCTTCAATCAAAAAAGAGAGAAATAGACATGAAAGCAAATGAAATCTGTTTTACCCTCTTTCCAACCTGACTATGCCTATTTCCATATTCCATGTTTAATATTTTACCTTCGTATAGAAATATATTTATAAAAAAATATTATAAATAAAATCAATTATGTTATGCTGAGCATATGAAAACTCATGAATAAAAAACTATTGTTGCTCTTCAAAGGCTTCCATGCTTACACGGCAGACTTAAACAAAGACTCAGCGTTAAAATTGCGCTCACTAGCATTTAGACGAGAAATATTAGTGAAAATTACTAAAATAGAAACTAGAGAATTGAGGTTTGTATCAAATCTTTTATATTTTATTTTCTTAATAATATCTCTCTCTTTTTTTGCGTTGGCAACTGATATCCTGAGCTAAGCCATCTTTCGGGCATAACAATGGGTTCAGACTAATTCGAATCGAGGCATGACAAACTATTAAAGTTGGCGCCCCTGACCTCTAAGATGTTATGTTCCCACGTCTTCAACTTGAGACTCGTGATTAAGCTAAAACAGTCTCAATCAACTGATCTAATCATCAGGTTCGTAGTAATGTCCTTTAAGCACGTAGCATATCAGAAAGAAAGGCTAGGGTAAAATATTGAATATGCCGAGACAATCAATTGTGCTCTGGCCTCCTGTATTATATATATCAGAAAGAATAGAGAATCTTCGTACAATACAAAGGGAATATTACAAATGAATAAAAGAGAGCCCTACACGTGTTGAACTATACAGCTGTATATGATAAGCTTAAAACTATACAAATAATATTTATATTAATGTTCTAACATTCCCCCTCAAACGAGAGGGTGTCTTCGACAGTCCGAGTTTGTTTCTGAAATCAGAATATTGAGAGTGAGACAATGCTTTTGTTAGGCAATCAGCAACTTGATGTGAAGAGGGTACATATCGAACATCCAGAAAGCCAGAAAGAACTAGATCTCTAATAAAGTGAATATCAATTTCTATGTGTTTGCTTCTTGCATGATGAACTGGGTTTGCTGCAAGTGCTCTGGCACTAAGATTATCACACCAAACTATCGAAGGCTGTTTTATCCTGAGTCCAAGTTCACACAATAATGAACTTAACCATTTAATTTCAGCTGCACCATCAGTGAGTGCCCTATACTCAGATTCTGTGCTAGATCTAGACACAACCCGTTGCTTACGAGACATCCAAGAAACCAGTGTTCCACCAAAGTACACACACACTCCAGCCATGGATTTTCTATCATCAACATCGGTAGCCCAGTCTGCATCTGTAAAGGCCACTAACTGAGGAGAAGAAATAGGCTTAATGTTTAAACCGAGATAATGAGTCCCTTTGAGATATCGTAAAATTCTCTTTACTCCTTGAAAATGAACATCAGTTGGCTTTGACATAAATTGACTGAGTTTGTTGACTGCAAAAGCTATGTCTGGACGTGTTGTAGTGAGATATTGCAGAGACCCAATAGCTTTTCTGTATAATGAGGGGTCTTTCATGAGCTCACCATCGTTGATGGAGAAATAGCGTCCTGTAACCATTGGTGTACTCACAGGTGCACAATCTAGCATACCAAACTTCTTCAAGATATCCTGTATATATTTACTTTGATTCAAATAAAAACCGGACCTATCTCTGTAAATTTCCAAGCCAAGAAAGTAGTACAGAGGTCCTAGATCCTTTAATGAAAACATAGCATTCATCCTCTGAATAAATTGCTTCAAATATGAAGAGTTATTACCAGTCACAAGAATATCATCAACATAAATTAGCACAAAGACTATGACAGAATTTGTACGCAAATAGAACAAAGAGATATCACTCTTGGCATTTTGAAAACCCCATTGATGCAAAGTGTCTCTTAGTCGATCAAACCAGGCCCTTGGAGCCTGTTTAAGTCCATAAATGGCTTTAATCAACTTGCACACATGATTCGGCCTCTGTGGATCATGAAAACCTTCCGGTTGATGCATAAAAACGTCCTCTCTAAGATACCCATTTAAAAATGCATTGTTCACATCAAATTGTCTTACCTCCCAATTGAAAGTCGCTGCAATTGTAAGCACAACACGAATAGTTGTCGGTTTGATAACTGGACTGAAGGTTTCTCCATAGTCTATCCCTGGTACTTGTTGAAAACCTTTAGCCACCAAACGAGCTTTATGCTTTAAAATTGACCCATCAGCCTTGAATTTAGTTTTACCAAATTGGCATGCTTCACAAACAAAGTTTTCATTAACAGAAACTTTCTCATTACATTGATTCAATATTTTCTTTAGAACTCTACTACTGGGGTGTCCTAATTTGCAATGCCATCTAATAAAGTCTTCCTCTCCAGAAACTCCAAAACGTGCTGTATGAACTTGAGGCTGAAACTTCTGTCCATTAAACATTGGATATATTCCTTGCTTCGGTAGCCCTTGCATCAACAGTTGACCGGTTACCTTGTCCTTCACAGTGCAGCCAGAGTCAGAAAATTTAACATCAACGTAATTATCCTCAACAAGTCTATTAACACTCATCAAATTTTTAGTTGCAGAGGGAACTACAAGCACATCCTTAAGATGAAGATTGGAATTATAACAAGAAACAGAGGTAGAACCTATACCAGTTACTTGGCTCTTTTCTCCAGTACAGGTAGTGATGTGAGACTTACCAATTTGAGTAACATTATCAAGGTTTTCTGGATGTGGTGTCACGTGATAATTGGCACCACTGTCCATGTACCAATTTGGGTCAGCCACAGTCTGAGAGTTTGCATAAAATGCTTGAGGGGAGTACCCATTTGAATAACCATTGTGAGCTCTGCCATATTCAGAGGGAGGACGAAAATTTCTGTCATACCTGTGGAAACAATGAGCACTAATATGTCCAAAATGTTCACAAAGATCACAATACGGACGACCACCATCACTGTCACGATTGTGGCTGTTTCCCCCTCTGCGACCACGTGAGCGTCTACCTCGCGACCCTCGGATGCCCCTCCAGGAACCACCAGTGTAGTCACGACGAGAAAAATCAGAGGAGCGAAAAACAGAGTCACGACAGTTTTGAGCAAAGTTGGCAGAAGGTTGCAGGGACAATGAAGAAAAATGATTGAGCTGCTCCAACCTTGTTTCAAAGGCAAGAAGGGAGGCCTGAGCATCAATCCAGGTGAGATCGACTTTATCAACTAGCTTGACAACCACAGCATTGTAGTCAGCATCCAAACCATTTAAGGTATGTAAAACGAGATCCTCGTCGGATACAGGGGTACCAGCAAGAGCAAGCTGGTCTGCTAAGTTCTTCATTTTACCTAAATATTCCTCCATCTTCATCCCATTTTTGCGGGTCTGTGTGAGTTCAGATTTGAGAACCATTGTGCGAGCCTTGATCGCAGCACAAGTCAGAGAGCGGGCTCCATTCCACAACTCAAGTGCCGTTTTGCAATGCAAAAGCTGGGTACCAACGTCTTGCGTCATAGTATTCCGCAGCCAGCCAACGAGCATCCTATCAGTAGCATACCATTCTTCAAAAGCGGGATTCACCTTCACACCAGCAGCTTCTGGAATGAGTTTCGGTGGAGGGGTAGCAGAGGAGCTGATATGAGCTTCAAGCTTATTGCCTTCGATCAGAGGGAAAACAACAGATTCCCAAAAAAGAAAATTAGTGCGATCCAGCTTAATCGCACTTGTTTGACTGGAGGAGTTAAACAATGAATATGTTTTTGGGCTCTGTGAAGAAAAACCATCAGAGGTCGCCGCCGTTGAGTCAGACATGGTAGGGTAAGGCTCTGGTACCAAGAAAGAAAGGCTAGGGTAAAATATTGAATATGCCGAGACAATCAATTGTGCTCTGGCCTCCTGTATTATATATATCAGAAAGAATAGAGAATCTTCGTACAATACAAAGGGAATATTACAAATGAATAAAAGAGAGCCCTACACGTGTTGAACTATACAGCTGTATATGATAAGCTTAAAACTATACAAATAATATTTATATTAATGTTCTAACAATATCCCATACCAAAATGGGGATAGTGCGAGCGTGATGCTAACAAATGTCATCAAGTTATATCTGGTTGGATAGGTCTATAAAAAATTTATAAATGCTTTTAATAAAACTTTTTATAATAAAAATGAAAGTACAAATCACATGTTCTGCGATAACAAAAAAAAAAACAATGAGGGCACATGATATGATTTTTTAAAAAAACCTAATTCTATTATTAAGTATTAACTAAATAAAATGATACATAATACTCCACGATAGCAGCAAAAGCAACACAAATTCCATTGAAGCATTTCAGCCTCTGGAACAAAAGAGGAAAAAAAAAATTACTTCCAACCAAACGAGGCATATACGATAATCTGGCTTCCAAATTATTTTGGAATAAAGCAAATTATTTTCAGCCCCACGCAACTGGACACAGAAAGAT